TGCACTGTCAGGGTCCCTAAACCATGTTGCTCAACACCAAATCTACACATTTTTTAAACACCTCCAGGGATGGGGACTCCACCACCTCCCTGGGCAGCCTGTTCCAATACTTCACAAAGTATTGTCACCAAGTGTGACCATGCAGATGGATACGTACGTGGATATGTGTATGGGTGTGCACAGGTAAAAACTATGTGGAGCAACAGTAGGTCTGACTTCATAACAGAGGCCACAAGGAAAACGGCTGCTGGGAGGAGGAAAGAAAATGCTAACTATTCAAAAGGGATTATGTTTCAAAACTAGATGCTTATCCATCCATAATAAGCAGAAACTTACATTAATTAAAAAAACACTCAGCTGGCCCTTAGAGGAACAATAGTGCTTTATCTCACAATTTTAATTAGACTCCAACATAGTAAAGTGCCAGTAGTTGGTCTGAACTTTCTCTCTCATTTTGTGAGCTTGTGTTCATCAGTGCTCTTAGGAGCTTTAAAATGATGCAGTTTAAAGCTCAGAAAGTCAATTACATAATTATTAATTTCATAACACTTAAATCAGTTTTCTTCTTCAGTAAAAACAACCAGACCAGTTATGAAACTGCCAATTTAATTTAAGAAGAAATCAAACATTCTCCTCCAGCTCCTCCCTGTTTGTAAACAAATTTAGTGAAGCTGAGTTGAAGAGGGCCCAGTTCGCAATATGAAGAGCTTGTGAGTTTTATCCTATAACCAAAGTAGATTAAGGAGACATAAAAATCACGATAAGGGAATAGGGCACTCAACTGCTTCTCAAAATTAAAAAAAAAAAAAAAAAATCAAGTGAAGGGAAATTTGGACAAACAGTTTTAGGAGCTAAAGGAAAAGTCATTTCTGAAGATGACTGCAGGGGTGTAACGACAATGCGGAGCTTATGAAGATGTGTACTGAATTCTAGTAAACTCACAGCATCAATTTCTTGTCAGGACAAGAAATAAAACCCTTGAAGGTTTGGCTCTTGCTAAGCTGCAACTCCTTACGTTGAACATAATCAAAATTCTACACATGGGCAATATTATTTTACCAATTCCAACATGTTACAAGTCATATTGACCATAGGGTTTTGTGACGTCCTGCTGCTCCCTCCCATCTCCCAGACACAGGGCTTAAACTTGGGTTTAGGTGTCCCTGAGACTGGTCCCTTGGAATCCCTAAAGGGGCCAACACGATGACAATAGAGAACTGCTTTCCTGAAGAAATTTCCTGAAATTTCTGAAATTCTGAAGAATTTCCTGAAATTCCGTTCACTTTCACTGAGGCAGAACAGCACACATCTGGAATACAGCAATGATCACAAAGAAATTGCTGCAAACTCATCAAAGATGCTGCTGCGAGAGGCAGCAAAGCCAGCTCCTGGCAAACGGGACGCACGGATATCGACACCCTCAACAGAACCGTCGCGCTGCTGCGCCATATGTGAGGGACATGCAGAAGCCTTGTAACTGCTATAAAGACCAGTGAAGCAACAGCTCAGGCTGAGATGTCTGGAAGAAGAAACACGCTAACTGCAGATGAGAACTGGAACATCAGAGACCATTCCCAGCCGTTCTACGTTGCCGGTTTCCCAAAATGTACCATTTTCCTCATGCAAAGCCTCCTACACTGTAAACACTGGATAAAGCTATACGTTCTAACTTCCACATGTTGTGAAGAACATCACAATCACTTTGAAGAAACATCATAAAGTTGAAATAAAATCTAGTGCTTTCTCAGTGTAAAGCTCTGTAGGATACAATAACCTTTTACATCTGAGATGCAGTACGAAATGAACTTTACCTGCTGTGTGTTCTTTTATGTTATTAATTATATAGGATGGTAAAGACTATATTCCACTGAACATCACCTTGTGTCCTGATGGAGAATCTAACTCCAAAACTTGCCCTGTGGAAGAAAACTTGAACAACTGTGTTAATCGCTGGAGTGCAGTGGAAACTGGGTAAGAAAAAAAAAAATGCACATAGAGGGTGGGAGGGAAAGAAAGATTTGATACAGCTGGGCACTACTTGTTGTCCTCTCTCAATATGGCTGTTTTGAAGGAGTTGGACAGACAAATTTGTCAGGGCATTGCTCATTAGTTACAAGAGATTAAAAAAGAAAACTGGTCCAGGAAACTGAGCTGTGTCAGGGATGCTAACTGAGCTACCAACTGGTGCAGCATCTGCTTGGGCTTTGTGCTGACCCCTCAACTCTCCTGCTTTCAGTAACAACAGCAAGAAGCGACCACTGAGTGTGAAGACATTTGATGAGGTGCCAGTGGAAAAGGAGAAAGTGATGCATGAGGTAAGTGAGGTGATTGCACCCTTCTCCATTGGGTTCACAGATCACTTGTCACCAGCACCTGAAACACTTATTAAAGCTTTTGAAATCTGTTTGGTAAGAAAAAGCTTTAAATCAAGCAGAAGATTTGGCCCTAGCATCTCACACATAGGTCTGTGTCACAACAAAGAGGGACTTGCATTTAGCTTAACAAATAATTCAAAGAGAAGCTCATGCTTGATTATCCTGGCTTTGATCAGGCTAAGGGGCTTTACATTACATATTTTGATTATGGTTTTTTCACCATAATAAAATGGCAGCTCATTGAAATGAAGCTTTTTGAAGGAAACGTGTCCAGAACACATTCTGGCTGGCTGAGACAGCCAAAAACTTGGTGGTGGTGAGGGTGTTCAGTTCTGGATAGACGAGACCAAAATTCAAGTTCCTGCTCTACTTGATTCACACAAAGGGCCTTAACTCTGGATTTTTCTCCCCCCGAGTGAATATATTTATTGCTGGTTTAATGGCACTGCAGGGTGGGAGAGTGTTGAAAAGTTTCATTTTCACTCCCCAGGAAAACAAAAGCTTGTTTTGTTACAGAGTGATGGTTCTGCTCATTGACTTTCTCAGGTTCCAAGGGCGGAGGTGTTTTTTTTTTTCCTTATTTTTTCTTCCTTGTTAAAAAAAAAATAAAAAACAACCAACCCACCTGAACTCATGAATTTGCTCTATGGTTCAGGTACTCCCTGGCTGCAGTGCCCTGTGCAGGTCACACACTTGCCTCAACAACAGATTCTGTGCTGCTGAGGAGGGATCTTCATAACACACACAACATGTTTGAAGCAGGTAGAAGGTTAGGGAGGAGGCATGAAGCCCTTGAGAAACCTTCTAATGGAGGAGGAGGGCAAGAATCAGATGGCTAGGAGCAGCACAAGGAAAGAAAGACGTGTAGGGTTTTATAGAAAGCCAATCTGTCTGCTCTGCTAGCCAGGGAACATCTCCCACGCTCCAGCTAAGACTCCCTCGTGGACAGCCAGCCTTTCCTCAGACCAGCTCTCTTGGGGAGGGTCAAGTCTTCAGCTACAACTTGTCCTGGACATATTTCATGTCCCTGACAAATATAGTGCATTTCTCAGCCCTTAGCACAAACTGATGCCCATTATTCCCTACTATTTTGCCAGGTGTACTTTCTGTGCCTTTATCGGTGCATCTTAGGGATTAGAAGGCTTAGAATTTTCTCTGGCTCCTGCATCTTTCCTCTTGCAGGATAAAAATCTGTCCCTCTGAATCACACAAAGACATTTACTAGATAGATCCGGTCTCAGTAAGAGATTACTGCTGCCAGCATGAGCATTACTTTCCTAAATGCTGCCTGTTCCTGGCATTTTAAAGTAAGTCCTTACATGAAGGAGGAAAAGTTTCAAAAAAGGGTAATAACACATTAACAGATGATAAATAAATGTGAGATTTCAATGAGGATCTTTTAAAGCAAAATTTTGGAGTGATTTACTTTTGGTCACGGTAAGTGCACTTGGGTTACTAAAATTATCTTAAAGACATTAATACTGATTAGGTCATTATTTCAAACAGTTGCCCAGGAACTCTAGAAGTGTTCTACCACACCTTCCTGCAATTGTGGAGGTAATAAAAGATATTTAATATTTTTTAAATTACTTAGAACAGGGACTGTGCATGCTTGTGAATTTGTGCAGCACTTAGACAACAACGACTTGATCTTAATTGCAACCTCGAGACTCAACTTCAAGCGCAGCAGAATCACAACCTCAACTTTAAAACTAATCAAGACAGTTTTATTGGACAGCTCATAAAAAAAATCCATAACCACAGTACAATGAGCCCTTTAAGCTATATATCTTTGCAAAGCACTTGGAATTGCCAAAACGATACTGAACTTCCACTTCCTTAAAATTTCAATATTTCTAATAGTGTATTTCTAGTAGGTATTTAGGGTACTTTTTCTCTGAGGAGCCTAACCAGTATTATTGGATATATTCTTTATGAATTTCTGTCTATTCATATCTCAGCGATCCTACCTAGATGGTATGCATATGTCATGCTTAATATCAAATTCAAGCTTGAAAATGTCAAATTATTTTCTGATACGTTCATTTTAGGGGTGCTTTCTCAAAATACAGCTCAAAAACTTTATAATCACAAAACCAAGGCAAAAGTTCTCAAGCTAAACAGCAGCATTTCAGGAACAGTTGGATAAAAACTGGTAATATCAGCCCTGATAAGAGAATATGCTGAAGAAGGGGTTTAATGTCATACACCAACTGGACATATCTACATGTTCAGCACTTTAGTACTAAACAGCACGCAGCTGAGAGCTTTGATGCCAGCATTTGCCCTCCGGGTCGTCGGTTGGCATCTTGTGATTACACAGAACAGCTGGTAGCTCCCACACTAGTTCCAGCACACGAGTATCAGTATCTCACACTACGACATAACATCTACGGATGGCCACCTTGTTGGCAGTGTCTCCCTGCTAACTGCAGACAGGGAGCCCCAACCTCTGTGGGTCACAGCGAAGGAGAAGTTGCGTTCTCCTGCCCTTGCTTTGTCTGCCCTGCAGCTGGAGACAGTTTTAGAAGGTGAAATTCTATCAACTTGCCTGTTTGGTATCACCATTAGCTGGAATTTGCCATTCGAACTCGCTCCTTGGCTTTCCTTCTCTACTGACTTTAATAGTGGTTCAGTCTGGCTCCTCTCCACACTCTCCTAATGGAAGCCGTGTCTAATTTCAAAGTGCTCCGTGCCATCAGGATCATCTGGCACTCTGCTGATGGTGTCTTCCTTTTCTACTCAGGAGTCGGACAGTGGGATGGTGCTGACGTCAGATGAGATAAAAAGCCCCAAGAGGCTGGAAATCCGTTCTTGGCCTTACGGGATCATGGCTCTAGCGTGAGTATTTTTTGCTATTTCTTTTCAAGACCGTTCAGAAAAACGCTTCTGAAATTTGCAGCTTTTTTCTGATTCCAAAAGGAAAACCATTAGACTGTCTAAACAAGCTAGAGGGAGAAACAGCTCTGGATTTCAGCCCTATAACTGAAAGACCATGGTTAATGTATTTTAAGAAAGTTATAATGTAAATTTTGCTTCCAGAAGGAAGTTGAACATAAAACAGAGTTGCAAGTCTCTGAAAGGAATGCTGCACTGTTGCATTTAAGTTACAGGAAGGTTAATTAACATGAAAAATGTTGATTCGCGTGGTAAAAATGAAAACTCATTTCATCAGCTTTGAGCACATGACGTCTCGTCAATTAATTTAACTCTTCTTCCAAAATGCCAAGCTGCCTTGTGATTCTGAATCACGTTCAGAAAACCAAGAGAGTGCTCTCTAGTGAAGCTGGTGGCTCCTGGTCTTGACCTGGTCTCCTGGGGCAGAACATTGTGCACGTGGCAAACGACGGGAGCAAAAAAGCTGAGAATACACACATCTACTGTAGCTATTGCTTGACTGCCCCTCCGGTGCTCTCCTTTACTGATGGAACAAAGTTTGAAGAACTCGATTTGTCAATCCAGAAAATAACATTTATAATTATACCAGAGTCCAACAAAGACGTGTTTAACTTCAGACATAGGGAAGGACTGGCACCTTTGCAACTGATGGAACATGAGAAAAGTTAAGGCAGCATGTACAGTAAAGAATAGTATAAGCACTGCAAAGCAAGTACATTTACCAGAACCTTGATTGCTACATTTGCTTTATCACAGCTATGAAGATATTTCTACAGAGCAGTCCCTTAATCCTACCACCTTCTTGATCCCATGAATTACATTGCTCAGATTTGGTTTACAAATAGAGACTGTGACAGTGTTTGCTCTGTTTATCCGTTCGTAGTACAGACGATCACAGAAGGATTACTTGGCTTTTAGCTCACAGTTCTTTGTATTTCTGTAACAACCAGGCACAAGCAGAGAATTGGTCTAGTAGTGAAACAGGTCTTCTCCACCTTCCTAGAAAAGTATAATACCAATAGTAACCCATTTCACCCATTCAAACATCAACTTGTAGAGTATTATAAAAGAAATGATTCTGTAGCAAGGAATTCCATGTCTATTCAGTTAATTAAGCTAATTAGACTTTTACTGAATCACCTAGAGCCTTCTCCGAAATCTATGGATGAGATTTCTATTAGTTTCCTGTGTATTAAACTCAATGATCTTTCCCACCAGAGCAATTGCTTGTTCTACATCAAGCCACCATCTTTCTCTACTACAGAGAAACGACAGGGGAGGAAACGCTCGTGCAGTTTCTGCCGAGTATGGGAGAGTTCACGGGAGAGCGCGGAGTCAGAATCTAACAGTATTTCGCTCCCTCACTCCAAGTAAGATGGAAGGAGCTTGCTTTGTCTTTTCAGACCTTAAACCGATAAATTCCTAGATGTTTGAAAGCAGGAGAGAAGAAGAAAGAGGAAAAGGGAGAAGGTTCCATAAGGAAGGCTAGAGAGCCTCGCAGCACTGACAGGGAGCATCCAAATGCTGCAGGTGCTGCTGGGCAGGAGCGTGACTTCAGGACCAATGTTGTTCAGCAGTATTTCTCCTGGAGCACTGTCCCTGTTGGGGGATTATCAGAGATCCAGACACGGTTCCATGTTTCTACCCTACATGCACGCTGAGAGGGCTCTGCACAGCCCAGTGCATTGCTATGGAGACCAAATGGCACCAGCTCTAAGAAAAGGAGCTTAAATGTCAGGAACTGCTTTACTCTGATGCTTTACCTGGGCTAATTTACCTCTCTTTTCTGCATGATGGCATGTTGACACGAATCCAACATATACACACACACACAAACCGCCTCCCTGATAGGATTTCTCCTTCTGAAGATTTCTGTCAATCACCTCTGCCTGCTGTTTCCCTGGTTGGAGAAACAGTTGGCAGAGGAAGGTTTTCCCTCTCCTCCTTCCAGGCTTTCTGCTGAAAATCAGAAAAATCAACATCCAGCCAGATGCAGAAACACAAAATTTCCATAACAGCCCGTTCTTTCAAGATTTCCAGGAAAACCTTCTGAACTGCTATCAGGCCCACTGGGAGTGAACGTGGGCTCTGCTGGGTTCAGTGGGTCTCTGCCTGACCCACACCATCTGGGGCTCTCCCCATTTACAGCCACACTTCCACAAGGATGACATTCATCATGACATACCTGACACTTTCTGTGCCAGCCAGATCACGAAAGACCCTGTTAACAGAGGTCTGCTAGAAAAGCAAACCCTGCAGCAAGCTGTGTGTGTTGTCTCCTCAGTCCCAGGACCCTGACCTACCACTGAACGGACAGAGGTGTGGTTTTTCTTGGCCACATCCTTCACTGAGTGTTTGAGGTCCAGCTGAGAAAGCTATTTTGTCAGCTTCTTATTTGTTAATCTTGCAGACTATCATTGGCACAAGTAACATTTTTTACATCGTCGCAGAGCATCCTGATGCCCTCTCATTTGAGGACATGACACCCCTTGGTGCTCCTGCACTGCTAACTTGAAAAATAAGCCTCAAAAGCATACAGATGAGGAGGAGAGGTCAGAAGGGAGTGCTGGCTTAATAGGAGAGATAAAGTCACCCTTGTTAATTGTATATCGCTCTCTACCAAAAACATTTACCCTGGATCCTTTTCAAACAGTCTTTCTTCTCTAAAACAAAACTTTTCAAAGGCTTAGCATGTTTTCTAAACCAGAGTGGCTGCATTTATTATTTTGCCCAAATCTTGCTGTTTATTTATCTTGCATTCATTTCTCTGTCGAGTTTAAAATTTGGCAACACTACGCACCACGGACTGTCGGTGTCAAGAGTTTATTGAAGATGAATCTGATACTTTTGGCCTGGGACCACTGCTGGACTGGACTAACCGTTTCTGAGCTCTAAGCATTTTATACTGCTGAAGTATCGAGTCACAACAGTAGCTGCAGTGAGAGACAGAAAGATTGACTGGGATAATGACACTGCAGCTGGCATTCAAGGAAGTGCATTAAACACAGAGGGGTTGGAATGATGGGATGACCTCGGTGTCAGGTTTTGTCTCACAGTACTAACAGGCTACTGCCAAGCACTGCTTTAAAATTCTCTCAAAGACTCTATAATCAAGTTATTGTTGAAAATTCCAATAGGTTTGATATCTGCTCAGTTGTCCTCCCTCCACCCCTTTCCCTTCTTGCCCCGCTCCCTCCCACTCCAATTATCCTCAGTTGCTCTGAAATTGCTTATCTGGTTCTGGCCAAGTCCCACGGCACCAGCTGACCGAGGCTCAGCTGATCCGCTCTGGGCTCTGGATGCTGCATCCAGATCACATCACTGAGGGCTCTGCCAAAGCCAAACTGGGCCTAAGGCAAGTCAATAATACTGAAACAAACTGATTTTGCTCAGGAGCATCAAGCACTCATGTCCAAACACAAGGTGCCCGACAAAAACGCAGCCCAACTGATTGGGCTAGAATCTGTCTGCACCATCTCAGAAAAATGGGCCATGGAAATGTTTGCTCCATAGCAGAACTTAGTTTTAGAAGATTTTTCTTCTGTGATGAGCATGCTGAGATAGCAAATGTACTTACAGTTGTGTCACGCAGCACCTTGTACTCTGACCTGACTTGAGCTCTCCAAAATATAAGTAACTTTGAATGAGTAGCTACTCGGGAGTTATGTAAGCCCCTTTTTTCTAGGATTATATACTGTGCACTTGCAGTGGCAAGGGCTAGAGGGAGAATTGTGAGTGCTCCCCAGCTTGGTTTTGACTGCAGTGCTTTTCATCTCACTGAACTTGGAGTGCTGGAGCTAGTGTCAGGGACAGCTGGACCAGCATTGCCACACGCGCACAGGGACACGTACTTAATGAGTGGGAGGCTTTCGCCTGTTAGAACTTGATGTTAGCTGCACTTTGTATTTAGAAGTGTTTCAAAACAATAAATCCTTGATCCTAACCCCCTGAGTTCTCCATGCCAGTAGACTACTGATGCACTGATACTGCCAGAAGAGAACTCAGGATCAAATTCTTCCTGCACAGCATCCCGTCTAAATTGTATTAAAGCAAACTGAATCAGTCGTAATTATCAGAAGAAAAAAATAACCCTTTTATTTCTTTCATGGCAGAAAAATTTAAAAAATTAATCACTTACTCTGTGCCTCATTAAACACCTACGAAAGCTGTTACAAAGCCCTGAAGCTCCCACATGTTATTATGAGATGTGGTCGTGAGACAAACTGCTCTACTTGGCAACGCTCAGCCCAATTTCTCATCTTTCCCTGAACACAGCTTCTGAACAAGGCCAGGATTGCTTCATGGACACAATGGTCTACTAGTTTTTCCTACTGAGGGCCAGACACTCGGCCATCTCATCGCAAGGCAATAAGAGCTGCTCCACAGCACTGGGAATAAGTGCTACGCCTGGTACTGTAGCCCCTCTCTGGATAAGGGTGATTTTCTTACAGTCATCTCTCCTTCTCCATGCTCCTCTTCAAGCCATCGACCCTGAGATTTAGGCTAATAGAAACTGGCTCCCTCTCACATAAAATAAACAGCTCCAGTAATGATTTCCCAGCTCCTTGATGATTTCAGTATTTTTCAACCTCTAACCAAAATCCCTGGTTCATACAGTAGGATGAAGAAGTCTCATTAGGTCACTTAGGTCTTCTGGCTATTGCACGATTATCCTCTGTGGTATCTTCTAAACAACTTTGACACCTCTCCAGAAAACTTAAAAAAGATTGTGAAAGATTACTCCGTATTCAGGCTAGCTTTTCCTTCATCTAATTTAATTCCTAGACTTTTCAGTTTCATCCGGACCGGGAAATCTGACATAGCACAGTAGAAATGGGAACTCGCTACCCCCCGTGCCACGCTAGCACGCACATGTTCCAGCTTGCAGCTGGGTCATGAGACCTACTAACCATACCGTGGCCCACACAGCCACACGACACGAGCATGCAGCAGCACAGAGCCCAAGCTCTGAGACAATCAGGCTGCTTGATGCAACCCTATTTACAGACCTGGCAGGCTTTTAGTTACCGTCCACACCAGTAGGTTCCACCACCTCCTTTGGTTTTTACGTCTAACAGGCTCGACACCGGCACCAGGGCCAGGGACGCTATAGAAACACAACCTGAAGTGAAGCAGGATTTGCTGCCAATTACGAATGTCACTCTTGGTTGATTTGCTGCTACCTATTTGCATTCTCCTGATCTTCTAGTATCGGTTCCTCTAGTGCTTTCCCCGCTTTTGTACTTCTCCCCACAAACCTCCCCAGCTTGTAGGTATCTTTCTGATTTTAGAAGAGGCCAGTGCTGTGCCTTGGCTAACTCTAGCCTAAGACACAAGGCTGAAGCCAGCTCACCGCATTCCACGAAACATCTTTCCCCAACCAGCACTCCGCAGAAACGCGCACGTTATGATAGAGCATCCTTTGGGTTACAAAATCTGCTTGAGGTCAGGAAATGGCAGTGTTTGGACTCCCATCTTTCCCCTTATCCTGCCCCAACCAGTACACATTCTTGCAAGGACAACCGAGTTTTCAGGCTGGTCCTTGTGCACAATGTGACCAGCTCGGGTCAGTGAGCAAACCTGTTGCGGTCGAATGTCACGGCATTCACACGCCTCATCTCCAGCGTTGCGCCGTGGTGAGATTACGAACAGCCAGGTGGGACTGGGCTGAGACATTCACAGTTATGAGCAGATTTATCAAAGCTGAACGTCTCTTTTATCGCCTCCTGCAGCTGCAGCACTCGCAAGTCGGGCAGAGGCAAAGTCAGTAAGGAAACACCTTTTGGGGCAGTGTAATGCCAACCCAGGAGAAGCACTGAACCAAGTAATGGCTAGCTTTTAATGAAATTATTTAATTACATAACCATTATTAACTTCTGTAGCTGCATAATTGTGTGATTAATCAAATCTAATGCCTTCAGTCAGAAAATGTTTATCGGTGGGGCTCAGGGAGAATTTTTCTATCTTATACAGGGCAGCACAAGTTGCTCGGAGCACAAAGGGGTTTTTGCCTTCCTCTGAAGCATCCAGTACTGACCACTGCCGGAGGCAAAACTGGTGTCTGATTCACTGTGGCAGTTTCTGTGCAGCAAATGAGATTTCAAGGACAGAGAGAAAAGCGATGCTGCAGTCTCTTTTTTCCAATATACAGTCCAAGTGTATGCACATTACATATATATATTCTCTGTTGCTGAGCGTGAACAGAGTAGTTTGAAGTGTCAGTAATATGCAGCATTAAAGGAAAAAAATGCAAAGACCCTTGGATAGCTTTAATTTAGGAAATGCATTTAGATGAAAGCAGTAGTTTTGAAAGTTAATTGCGTTTTGGTCTGCCATAAGACAGCTAATGACAAAACTTGCTTCTGACCTAACTCATCAGCTTTCTGCCTTTGGAGCAAATATTAGATGTCAGCATTTCAGAGTCTTTCTTCAAACACCAGCTTGATTTCAGCGATAGGCAGAGTTATTCCCAGATATCCAGTCTCCTGACCTATGGGGGCAGAAACCTAACAAGAACACTTGGCTACGTCTGAAAATTTCCCACTGTGTGGCCAACCTAAACGCTAATAACATTTCTTTTTCTCCAGCACTCTGAGATATGCAGGCTGGGGGCCAAATTAAACAGATACTTTCAAACTTCTCTCTGTCTCCACTGACAACTTTAATACCTGGCAAATTAGAAGCCAGAGCATCCACGGAATTGTCTGACACAAGTCAACAGAACTGAGCAACAAAAAGAAAAATACATAAATAAAGAATGAAGCAAAGTTGTGGTTCCATTGCTCATGGCAGGGAAGAATTTATCTACAGAGAAAGTGTGTGTGTATAGAAAGGAACAGCTGCCAAATGTATAGCATACAGAAGAAGTTTCCACTCACATTTTCCTCTGGACAAAGGAAAAACTTAGACTGTGAAAGCAGAGCGCGCTACGTTTTTGTTCAAGTTCTCAGGGTTACTATCTATTTTAGAACTTCTGCTTTGCCACTCCACAAGTTTGGTTTCAATGCCTTGTGCAGGTCTAAAAGCACAGTAACGTTAGCTTTAAGCTATAACATCTGCCTTTGCATTTAGAAGTCACAGAACCCGAGTTTATTCTAGACGTGCATGACGTGGTGGGCTGGCTCGTACAACGCAGAGGTCCTGGGTTCACTTTCTAGAGACAAAGCTGGAGATGCAAACGTGCTGTGGAAACTCACTACAGTCAGGCCAACTCCGAAGCAGCCAATCTCCCACTGCAGCTGATTAGAGCTGCAGCGAGTTGCAGCTGTTTGTTATGTCCAAACGTGGCTGAACGTCTCAGCCTCTGGCTTAGAACGACTGGTTTCACAGACCGAGAGATACAGAGCATCACCTACTCCTCACACTCCCCCAAAAAGAGAACTACAGGGACAGATAATTTACAGATGGAGCCTACAGGCTGTTCGATGTGGTTGTGCACAGATCATCTACTCCAGCCAATGGACTGCACCCTCTTGACCCTTCCAGAATTAGCAAGATTTTTAAGGGAAGATACTGCCACTAGTTCTGTCAGCCAGACTGAGAACATCTGCAGCTTGTGGGAAAACCAAAGCTTTTGACAGGTTCCAGATTCAGAGGCGAGACAACACAACTTCTAAAGTCACAGTAGCATAATGGAGCAGGACATATTCACCCTTCCATAGTTGAAAGGAGCTGGGCCTGCTGGATATCACAATTCTGTCATGCCAAGCACCAACCTGCTCTTAAGCCTACAGCATTTCTCTCTGCTGTACCATCACAAAAACATGACAGTGCACACAGCTGGTGTCTTGGATCTGCTGCTTTTCCTATTCACGGTTTTTGTTCCCCTTCCTCCAATTACTGTACTTGTCTCTTAGCTATCGTTATTGTTCCTGGAGCAGGAACCGGCTTTGCTTTCTTTCTAAGGCATCATACCCTGAATCCATGATCAACTGTTGGGGACTGTAAGCACTGCAGCAGCACAAATAAGTGGAATGAATCATACAATTATTTGATGAACTGTTGATTATTCAGACTTGGTTTAAGGCCAGCAGAACGTAGCCTTACCCTCCTTTAAACACATACGAAACACACACACAAGGTGCTTACGCACTGCCTGGTTTTAAATTCTCTCAGACACGTTCAGAAGCCATTCCGAACCCGGACGTGAGCAATGCCATAGCCGGTCCGTGAGTGAGGCTCATCCCAAGGAGATGCCTGCTAAACGGTCCCTAAGCAAAGTGGAGAAGTTCAAAAGCCATTCGCACGTTGAGATCCTTTCGAGAACCAACCCGATATTATCCAGACCTCTTCCAATGAATTCCTCATGTGCAAGAAACCAGACTTTACAAAACATTATTTTTAAGGCAGCCAATGACAAAAAGTACCTTTTTTTCTTCCCCACGATGCTTGCTGCTCCTCAAGGTCACCTTGTGATACAAATCCTCTCCAGGGTTCTCCTACTTTTAACATTGAGGTTGCTCCATGTGATCTGAGTTGCTTCTCTCCCACCGCCTTCATCACCTATAATACGAGAAGACAGCAGAAAATGAAAGCTGACTCTCTGTAATAGCATCACTTACAGGCCAGCAGTTGTCACGCTGAAAAGTGCTGCCCTTCACTAGGCACATTGCTCAGTAATTTTAAAAAGCCAGAGAAAATAAAAGAGATTTTGCCCTACATGGCAAAATTATGTTCAACATACTCTTTATCATTTTAAATTGGAGTCTGTCATAGATTATTCATTATTTCATCCTTTATTACACTTAAAGAAAAGTCATGGCCTTCAGTTCTGCTTTCAGAAAAGTCAAATTTTTGCTGACCTGTGTCAGAACAATAAGAGAAAATATTATTGTATGTATAGGACAGGTGCATTCATAACTAAGATATACACAGTGCATTGAAACGTGGTAAGCTAAAAAGGGCAACAGGACTCCTGGATTTACTCCTAAAGCTACTTTTAAAACACCAAGTTATTTGAAATATCTGATTTGGTTCCCTTATTCAATCCGTAAAACATCACTGTCTTACAGGATGCTGCAAAGGTAAATTGAGATGCTTTATCTATTTATTTTTAAATCATTTTGACCATTAATTACACGTAGAAACAAAACCTTATGGAGATAAAGTCAATATATGATACTGTTTGTTCCCAACAGGCGCAGAGCTGTTAGCAAGAGCAAAGAATCCATATTATCCGATCACGAGCGCGAGGCTGTCAAATACCAGCCAGCAGTACAGGTAGAAGAGGACACCATGGACTTCACACTGGAAGACTCTGTTCTCCTTCCTATGGATCCAAACCTGGAGTGCCACAGCCCACCTCCAGATTACAACTCTGTCATTCACTACTCAGCCCCTCCAGTGTAATCAGCCCAACCTGGCAGGGGGCATCTTGCACCTCTCTTAACCATGCTAGAGTCTCACATGCCTCCATGCCTGGGTGAAAACAGAAGGGAAATCTGACAGGACAATAGTTCATATGTTTCTCCTGGCACATCTCTCTGATGTGAATAGAAACATTTTAAAAGCATCTTCTTCGCTATCTTTAAAGACCTATTGCAACATATGCAGTAAGTTAAAATTCTGCCTATCAGAATTGTAAACCCAGAACTTCTTCCACTCCTTCCCCAGCTGGGACTGATCATGGGCATGTGCAGATTTACAAGTCCCTTCATTCATGTTTTACTCCGCAAGAGTCACCAAGAGGCATGTCAAGCTACTTGTGAAAACAAGATTCATGCTCCTGGTCCTGCACACATCCTGCAGGGATTGTTTAGTACGATGCTGTAAGGGACCAGTTGAAAACTACAGCCACCCACACTAATGTTTTGCTTTTGGAGAAAATCCAAGATTGAAACACTGTTCTTAACTTGGGATCTCACCTTCCGTAAATATTTCTGAAATATTTTGAAATCCGAAATATTTGGCAATCCAAATTATTTTGGTTACAATTTGTGATCTAATAGTTTCCATTGCTTATAGGATACACCTGAAAATGGCATGGCACGGAGAAAGCACATATCAAGAGGCAGGCTGGTCTTTTGGGCCAGCAAAGTATACGATGTCACTAAATCTGGTTCCCTGTGTTTTCTCCTTGTTCAAACAGCAATTTCTTTAGCGTACATGCAATAGGGAACCTTGATAGAGATGCACCTGTAACGGCTGCAAGGCAAAATCACTGCCTTAAATAAGAACCTTCTTGAGCTTAAATAGGCAAATTTCTCAGTGCACTTGCACACGTTTGTGCAAAATACTTATTAACAACACGGGAGTTATACACAAGTGCACATACACCCATGAGGCACCAGCAGGGTGGCAGCATTTTTATGTTTCTTTTCTGCACACAGGCTATTTAGTAAAAAGAGAAAAAAAAAACAAACCCAAAACATTTCCTTTGGATTCTGTGGCAGATGCCCAACAGTTTGATCCCGGGAATACTGGCCCATGCTAAACCATAAGCCTACGTGACACGTGCTTGTCTCTGACTGCCTTGCCAAGGTAAATATTGGTGTGATCTGCAAGGCCCTCTGCATCTAAACCCTTCATGGGTTCATGGCAATTCAAAGCTTTTTTTGCAGCCTAACCATGCAGGACTGAAAGCATCACAAATTCTCACATTTGAGAAATTCAAAGTGTACTGGCCCCACCAAAAGCTGCGTGTGGCAGGGACAGTTGGGCTGTAAGTGTGTATATCCAGGTCCCGTGCATCCTCACAACAGCTTCCAAAATAAGCAAACAAACTTTGTCATTTAATGTGCTATGTAATGATCAGAGTTGATTTTAGAAATCTAGGGAGGGAAAAAGTATCCAGGTTGCAAATATAAAAAGCAAGGATGAGAAAGATGTTCATTGACAGTCAAGGCTATAACCTCCTGAGTTACACACCGAGATCCGTAAAGGACTCTCTGTGCAGTTTCTTCCAAGGTCTGCACAACCCTTTCCTTTTCTTAGACCTGACACTGATTTGACTTCTTCAGAGAAAAAGAATTTTTCTTCATGATCACAAACTAAAGGAAGAAAAAAAAAAAATCCAACCCTTGCAAAACAATTATATTACCTTGGCCAAGACAGCCTGAACGCCCTGGCAGCAGGGAAGAAAACATTTCTGGATGGTTGGTTACACTGAAGTAAACACAAACAAGCCTCAGGTATTATCAGAGGGGGAAACAAATGTCCAAACCCCACACCAGGATAACTGTGAACGCTAAAGCGTCTGAAGTACGGGCTCTTGGGAACTGAGCTTCTCCTTGACTTCACATTCCATGGATTAAGGAAATCACCTGCAGGAACTCACGAGCCCCTGTTCGTAGCAGACCTGCTAAACAGCTGCGGTCTGTAGTTGCTTTATGGTCATTTTTGCACTTCTTTGTGTTTTAGTACCTATGCATTAAGTAGACCTGGTCATATAACAGAAGAAACTACTGGGATGAGTTCATCTGATGAGCCCCAGGAAGCTCATTGGATCCATTTTTTCATCAAACAGTAAATTAATTATCTATAGTTCTGATCAAATAATCAATCGCTTCTTTTGGAAATAATTTATTTGTGTGACAAAAAGAAAAAAAGGTGCAGACAGTTTGTCTGGCTCTGCTGGTAATGGCACCCGTGTGAGACGGTTTGTTGTTGTGCCTGGTTCTGTAGGGTAAGAAAATGACAATGTTTAAAAACCTTTGCTTATAAACTTTAAAATAAGTACATACGGGGAAACAGCCTTGCAAGTATGCTCTCTATTTTGAAAAACAATGGGAAACACTGCTGAGTAAACTGCTCCTAAGAGAGCCCGAGTTTGTCATCTCTCCACTTTATCACGGAGGAACCGTAGGGGTTTCCCTGAAACCAGAGGAACACGAAGCACGTTTCCCACGTTTCCCCAAATCCAGGGGACCACGAAGCACGTGTCCCACGCGGGACCCCAGCGGACTCTCCGACGGAACGCCGGTGGCCACGTCCCTTTCCGGCTCTCAGGAACACGCATCAGCCTTTCTGCGTGGCGCGAGATGGCGCGAAGGCAGTGCAGGCTCGAGTGCTGAAACCAGTTTGAACCACTGGTTGGTCTTTGACAGCTCCCTGCGCACCGGGGGCTCCTCTGCAGCGGCAGCATCACAGCTGTCCTCAGCAGTATGCATGGCCGGTTCCATTCGGAGCAGACACCCCCCGAATCCACGGAATGGCCTTCGAGTGTTCTGGAAATGGCAAGTGACTGATGTTTGGGCAGCTGTTTCCAATGTCTATTTTGAGTGGAAGATTTTTTTTCCTCCTTATAGCAAATGTAACAAGCAAAAGTATTGCCTGAAAAGTATTATTGAACATGTCTTCTATTTTATTTACTAATATTTTGTTTGTCCTCTTCTCTCCTCCCTTTATTTAATTATTGTTCTTTTCTGATGGTGATGTATATAGTTTACCCAGTAGAAGCAAACGTAGTGATTCATTTAGATGGTAAAATTTGTAACATTTTAGTCAAACGAGAAAGAGATACCCAGACATAACAGAGTTAAGTATCGTTACTAAACATTTCACTAACGCTTGCAGGCCAGGCTGCAGTTTACAGTACCCTACTAGTGCCATTTCATAGTCATCCTCCTCTTGGCTGCGAGTGTCCCTGGCTCCCCCTCACTCTCCACGTTATTTAGTTCCAGTTAGGAAACAGGGAGCTGGAGGAATCTGGCAGGTTTATCTCATTCCTGGAAGGGTCACCATGCAGCTCGTGGGGAAGGCGAGGAATTTCCACTGCCTCTGTTTTAATTGAAGGCTGGTGTGTTGGCTCGAGGATCAGAAAGGGCCAAATTGTTTAAATGATGTGATGTTTATTATTTTTTCAGACTTCTCAGGGATTCTTATTCAACTCCTGTCAGCTACCTGCTCTGCTTTATCTAGCCCGACTGAGCTCAATGGTATCTGCTATTAACTCGTACCTTTGTTTTCTTTAATGGTGCTTACTCCTACTGGTTTTGTCCTCTTGCAACCCCAGCAAATTAGGGCAAAGGAACTCGGAGCTCACCACAAAAACGTGTTGCCTTCTCCCCAGCAATCACCTGCCACGTAGGTGTCCCAGGATAAGTGTCTTCACCTGCATGCTATTGTTCAGGCTGGTGTTTTTAACAATCTGCTTTCCTATCTCCTCTTTTCTCTACTTTTCATCTATTTCCTGATATTTGCTCTTCACAGGCCCTTTGGGCTGCTTTTCTCTGCCTTTTGACTATGAGCAGGTATAGGACTCATTTCACTCTGCAGTTTCCTGTATATTCTGCTCTTACAGATGCTGAACTAGATAATCTAAAGCAAACTTTTTTCACATTAAAAAAATTTTCCAATACAGGCAAGGAAAACTAGTTTATATTGGTTTGTTTGGAAGCCTCTCTGTATCCTTCCCTGAATGACAGAAGCTTTTTAATCTATTGATTTTTCAATATTTGGTATCTGGAGCAAAACAAATGTTGGTGACAATCTATGTGAATCTCATCTTTCTATTAGATCATTCTCAAACAATGAAGTTTCTCTTAGGTTCTTCCAAGTTATCCTCACAAGAAGAGGGTCCTAACCAGCATGCTGGGCCCCCACCATCTACTCAGGATATCAAGGAAGGTCAGATATTAAAGTCTGAGTAATAGTCTCAAACAAAACCAATGAAATTTGAGCCCACTGAATGCTGAAGATGTATACGTTTAGGTCTGCCTGCAGGTGTAAATTGCTCTGCTTAAGACACCCCACTAACACAAACTCTACTCCCCAGTTAGCCTGCTTGGCAAATGCCTCGGACAACCCGGAGTGTCCAGGCACCTCTCTCTTTGTATTTATGCTCTAGTATGCTGTTGGAATGTTAGTTGGCATGTAAGCCTGTAACTGGCCAGTCAGCAGTTTATGACTTATCTTCTCCATGATCCTTCATGTTGAGCACTGGCACTGCCTTGTCACGTCCTGTCTTGCTTCACAAATGTGATCTGGCCTTATTGCAGCTGTAAGGATGTGGTCGTGGGTCAATGGTCTTTAGCTCCCACCAGCACCAGCTTGACAACACCAGGAAATGTTTGCAGGGAAACATCACCAGCAAATAGCTACATAACAAGATGAAGCATGACTGGGTTTTCCTGAACACAGGAGTTAGGCAGGATCAGTATCATACTCAGAGATCAGCCTGTGGGGTTTTTTTTAATCATAAAGTGAATATAAAGTACAGAGTGTAGCAATAATTTTTTTGTCTCTCCCTGCAAATAGTAACAGCCGAACCCTGAAATCCATTTTCCTGTTTTTATACTACACCACAAAAAGAAACAGAAATAATTTTGCCAAAGTAATGCCACCAGCACCATCTTATGCAAGTCAAATTCAGGGAGGACTTGTGCATTTGACCCTATCAAGAGTCAGTC